GTGACAATGATAATGAAATGAATAACTCCTTTACTTACTTGGTTGAGTGTTCAAATATATGGCATGCCAGATGAGGACATGTTAGTTTTGATACTCTTCGTCTTTTAATTAAACTCACATTGACTCAAAATACAAATGCAACACTGGTGTTGAATCAAAATTTACACGACAATCTTTCAAGTCCATTTAAAGGATAACCGAACCACTTGGATTAATTCACACCGATGTGTGTGACATGAAATCAATTCCATCTAAAGGTGGAAATAAGTACTTTATCAATTTTATTGATGATTACACTAAATTATGCTAAGTCTATTTACTTAAAAGTAAGGATGAGGCTATAGAGAAGTTTAAAGTGTATATAAGTGAAGTTGAAAATCAACTTAATAATAAAATTAAAGTACTAAGAAGTGACCATAGATGTGAATATGTATCACCGTTTGACGAATTTTATGCAACTCATGGTATCATACATGAGCTTAATGTACCTTATTTACCACAACAAAATTGGTATGGCAGAAAGGAAAAATCGGACCTTAAAGGAAATGATGAATGCCATGTTGTTAAGTTCTGGGTTGCCACCCTCAATGTGGGGAGAAGCTATACTTTCAGGTAACTACCTTTTAAATAAGGTCCCACGAAAGAAATCGGATAAAACACCATACGAGTTATGGTCAGGTATAAAATCATCCTACAAATATCTTCGAGTGACGGGGTGCCTTGCAAAGGTTGTGGTACTTACACCCAAGGTGGTTAAGATAAGACCTAAGAATGTTGATCGCATATTTTTTGGATATGCACAAAACAGTAGTGTGTATCGACTTCTTGTGCATGACTCAAAAATTCCAGAAATTCACAAAGGCACAATAATGGAGTCAAGAAATTCATCGTTCTTTGAGAATGTGTTTCCATGTCTTCATAAGGTTGAGACAAATGCTTCAAAGTTAATTGAGCACAATGAATCCTCTTATGAAGCAGAAATAGAAGAAGAAACAGATCCTCGTAGAAGTAAAAGGGCACGAGTGGAAAAGTCATTTGGAGATGATTTCTACACTTACATGGTTGAAAGAGAGCATCAAACTTTCAAAGAGGCAATCACCTCCTCAGAAGGACCTCAATGGAAAGAGGCAATCAAAAGCGAAATGGATTCCATCTTGCAAAACCATACATGGGAGCTAGTGGATTTAACTCAAGGTTGCAAACCACTAGGCTATAAATGGATTTTCAAGAAGAAAATGAAAGTGGATGGAACCATGGACAAGTATAAGGCAAGACTAGTAATTAAAGGCTATAGACAGAAAAATGGCATTGATTACTTTGATACGTACTCTCCTGTCACACGTATTACATCCATTAGATTGATACTTTCAATCGCTTCTATAAGAAATCTTGAAGTACATCAAATGGATGTTAAAAAAAAACTTTTCTAAACGGGGATTTAGAATAAGAAATCTACATGGAACAACCAGAAGGGTATGTTGCCCCAGGAAAAGAATCAAAGGTTTGCAAACTAGTGAAGTCATTATATGGGTTGAAACAAGCCCCAAAACAGTGGCATCAAAAGTTTGACCATGTGATGTTGGAAAATGGATACAAGATTAATGAATGTAACAAGTGTGTTTATGTTAAAAACACAGGTGATGGTTATGTTATCTTATGCCTTTATGTTGATGATATGCTTATTGTTGGTAGTAACCATAAAGTGGTTCAATCAACAAAGGACATGCTAAAGGCAAGATTCGACATGAAAGATATGGGTTTGGCAGATGTCATCCTTGGTGTGAAGATTACAAGGACTACAAATGGACTTACTTTAAATCAAACCCATTATGTGGATAAAATTCTTAAGAAGTTTAACTCCGGTGATACTACTGTAGCTAGGACACCAATTGATACAAGTCATCATCTAGGTAAAAATAGAGGTGAAGGAGCTGAACAAGTCGAATATGCAAGAATTATTGGTAGTTTGATGTACCCTATGAGTTGTACCCGACCTGAGTTAGCATTTGCAATAAGCAAACTAAGTAGATATACCAGTAATCCGAGTGATGAACATTGGAAGAGTATTAAAAGATTATTACAATACTTAAGGTACACCGGCAATTATGGGTTGCACTATACAAGATATCCTGAGGTGATAGAAGGGTATAGTGATGCAAATTGGATATCTAACATTAAAGACTCCAAGTCAACCAGCAGGTTTATGTTCACACTTGGAGGTGGAGCTATATCATGGAAATCTTCAAAACAAACATTTATAGCTAGATCTACCATGGAATTTGAATTTATAGCACTTGATAAAAGTAAAGAAGAAGTTGAATGGCTACGACGATTTTTGGAAGATATACCAGGATGGGCTAAACTAGTTTCGGCAATCTCAATCAATTGCGATAGTCAATCGGAAGTTGGACGGGCACAAAGTGCTATGTATAATGGTTAGTCTCGACACATCCGTCGAACACACAACACCATTCTAAAACTAATCTCAACTGGAGTTATCTTAGTTGACTACATAAAGTGCAAGGATAACATTGCGGATCTGCTAACCAAAGGGTTAAACAGGGAGTTAGTTGCAAAATCGTCTAAAGGAATGGGATTAAAATCCGTGAACGAATAAGTTATTGCGAAGGAAAACCTAACGTAGTTGACTGGAGATCCCAAGATCTAGGTTCAATGGGGACAACCTACTTGCATACAACATATGTGGATCACTATGGGGGTCAACCCCAACCCATTCCTATAAATAACAGTGATGCAGGTTAAGCTTATAATAGTTGGTGATAAGTTGAAAATCATCACGCTTTAGCTTTTAATGATTATGATATAATCACCTATGTAAGAGAGAAGTGGGGCCACTTCAAAAGGGAATTGAATGGGAAAGTTCCTAAGAGCTCTTACAGAACCAGGTTAGTGTCCACGACAAAAAATAGACACATCAATGAGAACCAAACTAGGTCAAGGAGAACCATGTGAGACATGTATTGATTATTTACACAAATAGTAGAATAGTTCAAGGACACCGAGTTCACTGGTCCGCTAGTAAAATAAATATGTATCTTAAGGGAAGGTTCAAAGGGTCAAACCTACCTATCATGTACATGATTCAATTGCTGGATTTTACCTAAAGCAACTTGGAATTGCGGATGCTGAAGCCATTTTCATTCATGTGGGGGATTGTTGGAAAATTAATTTTGTTAATTTCCAAAAATGGATTTTCTCCATTTTTGAGCACAAATTTTGGACTCTAAATATAACCAAAACGAGTTATTGATTATATATTCGTGTTCTCCTCCATGATATCTTCGTTTTGATATATCACACGTACAAAACGGATTAAAAATGAATGAGAAATTACTTGTCAAAGTAGGAAAATTGGAAGAGAAAGTAAAGGAGTTAGTGTTTTAAAATTCATCCCACATTCGTGGGAGAATGAAAAGGAAAGTGGTTTATAACTACAAAGACTAGCTACCTTTGTAAGGTTTATTAGAACCAAAGCTCTCTCTTGCGCGCACATACATGGGGGGTGCAAATGCGAGCAATATTGGATTTGGGCCAATGAACTTATGTGCGAGCGCACGTCCTGCGGGCACGAATGCACCGCCAGTTGACCAGAAAAGTTTATAGACCTTTTTTTTCATTTTTTCCTTTTGGTTAAAAGTTAGAAAAACAAATTAAGAGTAATTAATCATAGATTTTGGTTTTGATTTCTTGATTAATTCTCTTATTTAGTAGTGACAGTTACAATTTTGTTTTAATTACATCGGTTACATTGGGTAATATATATACAACGCCTATGTGACTGTTTCAACACACCGGATGAAAAAACATCACTCTCTTCTTCTCTTACGCTTCTGCTTCATCTTTTCTCTCTTGCTGCAACCAAGGTATAATTCGGGCCAAGTGAGGGTTCAGGCAATCTAGAAGAATTGATTTCTACTGTTGTATCATGGGAAATAAACACCCATATATGACGAATTCGTTTTAAGGAGAATGTGTTAAACACAGACCTCAGCAAATAGTTTTATGGTTTTGTTCATTCGTACAATTTTGGGTTAACTAATATATATATATATATATATATATATATATATATATATATATATATATATATATATATATATATATATATATATATATATATATATATATATATATATATATATAGGGAAAAGTGAATATACCCTTAAGCGTATATAAGTTTAAGTACCCAAACTCACTATATTACATCGTTTTATATCATATATACATATTATAATTGTCCAATGTTCTTCTAATTCAACTTTTAACTTGATTTAATTCAAAGAATTTTATAAATTTTACATTTATCGTCCAAATGATGAAGCTGATAGTACAAGTAATCATTAATAAAATAATATTAAATTTTAACCATATTTTGAATTCAAATATTTATCATCAAATCTCCTTATATTTCTCAACAATTTGATATGCTTCCCTCAAATCTCGGATTCATTCAAATTTTGAACCCTTTTAGATATCGTTAAATTTAGCATGTTGATTCAAATATCCCTCCAATCGCATATATCTCTTTGCTCCATTCTCTGCTATAAAGCCCATCGTTCAGGAACAAAAATGACTTCATTTCCCAAATAACACCATAGTTTGATTATTTTGTCTTCGATATGTACTTTCTTTTCTAACATAACATTTTTGTAGAGGAAACATATCACCGAAAAAATTTATACGTCCCGCCGTTTTGCGCGGGTACACTGCTAGTATATATATATATATATATATATATATATATATATATATATATATATATATATATATATATATATATATATATATATATATATATATATAATTTGGTGCACCATATTTTTTTTGTTCAACCTACTAGTAGCTACAAATTTTTTTATTAGTGGCCCAAGACCCCTCGAAACTCAATGGCCTATATATACAACACATTGGAACCCTTTATGGATCATCCTTAACTTATAATCAAACAATACATTCCCTTACTTTACATGACCTCTTACATGGATTTTTTATCAAATCTAATCATCATACTCGCACTTGTTTTTTTTCTTCTTGTTTTCTTATATGGGAGGAAGACAAAGAAATATCATCCGGTTGCTGGGACGGTATTTAGTTTGTTCATCCACTTCAACACGGCGCATGATTACATGACCAATCTTGCAAAAAAATACAAAACTTATAGATTGATAAGCCCTTTCAAAGGTGAGATCTATACAACTGATCCGATGAATGTGGAGTATATTCTCAAGACGAATTTCGAAAATTATGGAAAGGTATATCCGCCTTTAGAATTAAATGTTTATAATTATGTTTTTTTTGTGATAAGCTTACTTTCTTCAAATTTAGTAATTGGTAAATGATTTATATATATATATATATATATATATATATATATATATAATATATATATATATATATATATATATATATATATATATATGTAAAAGTTCAAATAAAAACAGTAAAAATATGAAAACATAAAAACATTATGTTTATGTTATTATTCTGCAATGAATGTTGTATACGTGTATTATTAAAGTAATCCTAATATGAATATTAACGTTTGATTATTCATATATTCATTATAATATTATTATTCTATTATAAATTTATGTATGTGCATTTTTATAGTAATTTCTAATTTTATTTTGAACATGTGAGTATTCATTTATTCATTTTTCCATAATGACATAAAGCTATGCATACAAAATACATTCTAGAATAATAACATAAAAGTAATTTTTTATGTTTTCACAGTATTTACAGTTTTTATTTGAACTATCCCTATATATATATATATATATATATATATATATATATATATATATATATATATATATATATATATATATATATATATATCCATTTTTTAACAAATGAATATGTTTATTATCTTATTGACTAGTATCATACTATTATAACTCCTCATTAAGATTATATGTCACCTATCATGCCAATTGTCAACCTATTAATTATAAATTTCAAATTTCAAAATTTAAATTTATCGCTCTAAATACATTAAATTAATAATTGATTCTTCATTTTAAATTTTAAATTTTAAATTTGAAATATTAGATTAAGAAATTAAATAAAATTAATATATCTTAAAAGGTGATATAACTTCATGTATTTATTTAAATCAACGATTATAATTTTATATAATTAAACAATATCTCTTAATTAATAACTAATTTTAAAAAAGTAGATTAATAAATTTGATTTATTAATATGAAAGTTTAATTATTTTTATAACCAAGGTTTTAATGGGTTATAAACTAATATATATATATATATATATATATATATATATATATATATATATATATATATATATATATACACTTTAAGCACATTCATTTGGAACTTACAACTCTTCACTTATCGCATAATTAATGCATATCAATGATTTTTTGTATCTACATTAAATATTAGTTTAATACTAAATCTCTATATTGCTCAACTAATTAATCATTATAACTCAAAAGTTTTTGAAGTTATTGTATTTAATTGGTTGATATAAAAATGTCTAACTCATATTAGGTTAATAACTGTGAAAACCACGTTTAAAAAAAATTATTAATAATTTAAAATCATACTAATAACTAATTTTAATATAATTGTATTGCAACTTATAATATATGTTTTATACCTTAATTAAAATCGTAATATATTTTATTAATACGACTAATTATAATATAATTATTGATAATTTAAAATCTTAATATATTTTTTTACTATGTTTTATACCTTTATTAAAATTTGAACTTGATGTAAATGCAGTGATGCCTTCATTTTTATTTTCAAACAAGCTTTATCATGTGTTTCATACCAAATCTTGAACATATTTGAAATAATAACGTGCTTATGTTATATTTTCCTTTCTTAGGCATTTTCTTAAACGAAGCACTACAATGATCAATTAAAAAAAAAATAAAAAAAATAAAACCACTACCATGATGATGTTATTCTCTAACATAAACGTTTAACTAATAGCTAAAAGCCATTAAGATTTAAAAATGTGTATGTGTAGATTAAAATTTGAGATACTTTTAGTATTAGTTCGCAAAGTGCTGTAAATATTAAAATTAGAATACTTTTTAGTGCTTAATGTATTTCTTTTATGATGTTTAACGCTCTTATCTACTAATGTCACATTGCATTTTTAAGTCATGACCGCTCAACAAAATTACTCATCTGACTCTTCTTACATTAAACCTTCATCCCCAGATCCTACATAAAGGCATAAAACAAAACAATGTTATAACAGTTTATTTTTTCAAATTATCTGTAATTAAAATGAAGAATACCACAAAACCAACTTCTCAAATTTGTTATTCAACTTAATTCTAACTTTCTCAACCTATAATCATCAAATGAATATTCCACTTATTCAATTTCATTCTTCTTTATGCAATATATATGTACTAATGGTCAACTTAAGGAAAGCGAATGAGTTGGAATACAATGAGGGGTTGAGTGACACTGTTACTCGGAAATCGGATAATCTGGACTTGAGTTAAGTGTCGGCCGATCAAATCCAATAGGGATTGTAAAATTTTGAATATTTTGAGTTGTCGATTGAAATTGAATGCCTTTTAAAAAGAAGTAGTAAAGGGTTATATGGGATGCTAATCGATTATACAACTAGTTGTGAAACCCGTATATTATACGGGTTAATTAAAACATAATTTTTAACAGGAACGATTAAATGAAAAGTTTATTTGAATTTGAAATATGAAATAAGTGAAAATTATAAAATAAAAAAAAACATACAAAAAATAAATTAATTAAAGTTATGTGTTTAATTGTTAGACCCGTGTACTAAACGATTTATTATAATAAAATGTTAAATACAAATATTTAAAGTGTAAATTTATTTGAAATTGAAATTTGAAATTTAAATTTGAAATTAATAGTTATTATAGTAGGTTTAATTTATGGAAACTAAATTAATGATATAGTGGAAATGAATAATGAAATAATTGACAAGTGGAAAATAAATATATTTTAAAATTATGACAAAATGACATGTAGCCAAATAAATAAGAAAATGACAAGTGATAATAACATTTTCATTTGTTAGGGTAGATGAGAAGGGAAAATATGAAGATAAGAAAACCAATACAAATTCAATTCTGAAAAAGGTTCTTGATTTTTTTAGATTCTGTTTATTAACATATCTTGATGATAATTTAATGGGCCATTTTATGGGATTTTTATTAATAAAGAAAAAGGAAAATGAATGAAGAGTGAAATCAGAAAAACGAATGAAGACTAATTGAGTTGGAAAACAGGAAAACAAATGAACTGCTTAACAATTGTATCTATTATGTCCTTATTTAACAGGATTTACCATATTTTTCTGATATATTTAAATTTATAAAAAAAATCTATAAATACTTTTATCAAAAATAGGCTATAGGCGGGAAAACATTTGAAAGAGGGTCTAAAAGAATGTCCCTTGGCAAAAAGACTATTATTTTATTAGAGTTAGATTTTTAACATAAGTAGTTAGGGTTTCAAGTAGGGATGATCGCGGTACGGTTCGGTGTGGTTCGGTGCAGTGCGGTTTTTGCAAACTAATAACCGCACCGCACCGCAAATTTGCGGTTTTGAAAAACAAAGAACCTCACTGTCAGTTTTTATTGCGGTTGTGGTTAATTGGTTGCGGTTTATGCAGTTTTTGCGGTTAATTTTAATTACAGTGCGATTTTTGCTCACCCTTTCAAAAATAAGATCTGAGGAAAAGATGACTTGAGAAAATGCAAAAATCTATTACCGCAATTAAGACATTGAGAGAACTTTGTTTTTTTATAGACATTTTGGTAAAGTACATTCTTATTATGTTTTTAGTTTTATTCATTTTCTTCGTTTTAATCTTCTTTTGTATTTTTTTATTGTTTCTAATATTAGATTTTATGTTTTGTTTGTCACTTTAATGTTGATTCTCGATTCTATTTTTTATTTAAAAGATAGTTTATTTGTTGGTTTTTTACGATCTATTAACAAAACGAAAACATACAATAATAAAAATATCTGTTAGACAATGATAGATAAGATGAATAATATCTTATTTGTTATCGTAAATATCGTTTATAATATTTTTCTAATATCTTATTTTTTAATATTTGTTTTTTGTACTATTTTTTATTTAAAAACTATTTTATTTATTGTTGTTTTGCGGTTTATTAACAAACTGAAAACCTAAAATAGTTCTGAAATAAGTTTCTATGTTATATTAAACATTTAAATATACCTAATGAAATTTCTATTTCTTTACACCCTACGATAAATATGAAGTTATTTTCCGTAACAATATGTATGAAACAAGTAACATTTGCATTATTATTATGTTTTATTTTCTCTTATATTTTAGATATTGTTGTATTTCACTAAATGTGTTTCCATAGTCATTAATCTCAGCCAAAAAAGTATTTTTAAATTAATTAACCATAACAATAGTTAAAAATAAAACTCAATCAATTTTTATTTTTTTTTAAATTAATTAAAATTAACAATGGTAAAAAAGAACACTAAATCGATACTTATATTTAATTTTATTTATGCATTTCAAAAGGTGATTGTAATGTACGTTTATCTTATAATATTTTTCAAAGAAGTTGGATTTTATTTATGTACAAATTATTGTTGCATAACTAATGTCTATGACTAATCATTTTCAACAATATATATTGTCTAAATTATAATTAAGTAATTTTAATAGACACATTAAGACCACATTTTCCTAGTTTTTTTTATATATGTAGAATTTACATTCGTCACACACTATTTATGTGTACTTTATGAAGGTACAATAACATCTCCTTAAAATTACAAATGTTTGACCCAAGGCTTTTGTGGGCCAAGGCCACAAAAGCCAAAGATCTCACTAGCATGTATGGCCGATCAACACAGTTTTGCAACTCAGCATTGCACACCGGAGAACCGAGCACTGTGAACCTTAGGACCAAGCTCCGCACACTGTCGCTCGTACTGCACGTCAACCTTAACCGGTTTACACATCGCATACGACACCACACATTGTACCACAACTGTGACCCTAGACTTCAGCGTAGTGCACGACCCGATTGCTAAATATCAGTAGCGGCAATCACGTCAAACGAAATATAAGAATATAAGAATAAACAACTCAAGATTATATACTTGGTATTTAATACAAAATAAAACATATAAATGATTTAAAAGACATATTTTTAGACGTTATTCTGATCGTATTTAAGATAGATGAAGACTACCATATAGTTTGTTGGACCACTTTGATGTTTCTTAGTGGAGATGAATCGTTACTTTCATGTCATTTTTGTACATACATAATTTTTCATTTTCTAATTGTCAAAAACTAGTTTGAATTGAGCATTCGTATGCATCCTTAGATTTTTCTCTATTTGGTCTTATATATAACGATCAAATGGTTTTATTATTCTCTTGTCTACACTAAAAGGTTATATATATAAGAGTCGAATGGTTTTATTATGCTCTTGTCCAGACAAAAAGGTTATATGTACAAGAACCGAATAGTTTTATTGTGATCTTTTCCACACTAAAGGGTTAATGTTGTAGGCTTTACGTTTTGAGAGATTGTCACACATGTCCCTGATGTTACATTTCCCCTAGAAATTAAAATATTTCCAAAAAATATTGTAGGGAACTTATACCCACGACCTTCTAGAGGATCTACTTGGTCATGGAATATTTGCAGTTGATGGGGAGAAATGGAGAGAACAAAGGAAGGTATCGAGTCATGAATTCTCTACAAAAGTCTTGAGAAATTTTAGCAGTGTGATTTTCAGGAAGAATGCCATAAAACTTGGAAACATATTGTTAGAAGCAGCAAATAACAACCATAAAATCGATATATATGTAAGCTTCTCGTTTGGTCATTAATATTTAATTCACCAACTAGATACTCATTGATTATATATATATATATATATATATATATATATATATATATATATATATATATATATATATATATATATATATATATATAGAGAGAGAGAGAGAGAGAGAGAGAGAGAGGTTCAAATGACAACCAAAAAAGATTAAGAACCGTAAGAACCTCTAACTTTAGATGTTTATGAAGGGTTTAGGTAACCCTAAACCTTAAACCCTTTATAAACATCTAAAATTAGAGGTTTTTACGGTTTTTAATATTTTTTTGTTTTCATTTGAACCTTTATATATATATATATATATATATATATATATATATATATATATATATATATATATATATATATATATATATATATATAGACACACGTTTATACAGGATTTGTTCATGAAAGCAACGCTAGATTCAATATTTAAAGTTTCTTTTGGAATTGATCTTGACAACATATGGGGTTCAAGTAAACAAGCTGTAAGATTCAGTCGTGCATTTGATGACGCAAACACGTTGACAAGTCGAAGATTTTTTGACATGTCTTGGAAGATCAAGAAGTATTTTAATATTGGGTCCGAAGCAGAATTAAAGAAAAATATGAAAGTTGTTGATGAGTTTGTTTATAACTTGATCCAGATCAAGTCTGAACAAATTCATAACACAACCGACTTTTCGGTAAGCTTATATTTTTGTTCTCAGGTTAAAATACTAAGACTATCTTCATCATTGTGAATAATTTTTCTAACATATCAAATAAATTATGGTTACTGCTATAAAGTTTTAATAACATCTGTGTTTATATATCACATATTATGATTATCTCATATTAATTGACATTATTCAATGTAATGTTAAAACAAATAACCAACAACCAACAAACCTACCAACATTCTTCTAACTTTTACCATTTGTCAAGAGATAGAAGTAGGGTTGTAAACGAACCAAACAAACATGAACAAAGGTTTGTTCATGTTCTCCAAACAAACGAAAGAACAAGAATAGATAAACAAATAAGTTTTCTTGTTCATGTTCGTTCGTTTAAATATTATGTTGTTCATGTTCGTTTGTTTATGTTCGTTAACATGTTAAATAAACATAAATGAACGAACATAAATGAAAAAAGATAAATAGACACAATTGAAAATATATGAACATTAACGAATGCATAATATAGCTATGTAATAAAAACAATTGAACATATATGAAATAAACTTAAACGAACACTCATGAACATAAATGAATGAACGAGACCATTATTAATGTTCATTCATTTAACTAAATGAACGAGAATTTTTGTTCATGTTCGTTCATTTACTAAATAAACGAACGTAAATGAACTTTCCTCCGAATGGTTCACCGAACGTTCGGTTCGTTTACAGCCATAGACAGAACCTAATCAGGTAGAGAGTACCATTTCATATTTTTTTTTACCTAAATGAAACACAATATTTACTCTTGGTAGCTATGAATTTTGCCCTATGTACTTATTAGTCATTGTATTTATCCTAGTTATCATTAACTTGCATAGTTACATGTAGATAACTTACTTGTGCCTAGAGCTAGGGTTACTATATTGTATATACATAACTGATATCAATGAAATAAGGTAAGGTGTTAACTTATATGGTATTATGTAATTCATATTTACCTTATCCACACCTCTTTCCCCTAACGGTATCTTCTCATCCCATATTTACATTGATTGTTCTGTTTTGATGTCCATGAAGAATCAATTCCACGTTGTCGTTACACTCTGCAACATCAAATTTTTTATTTTGGAGGGGGTAAGGACAACATGGAGTTTATTCTCGCTGACCATTAATCAAAAACTACTGATGTGAAGAAGGGATGAGAAGAGGTCATGCTTAGACGACTGCTAATGACCTCATTTCCTTAATTGTTGAAGTAAAATAGCAGTAGTACCACTTAGACAACATTGCCTCACAATGGATTTGTTGTAACAAATGTACTAGCCTTCTCCAGACCATCATTTTTCTCGATTCCATTGCTCAATAGCTTAGGATTGTCTTCCAAACATATTTCAAGACAAGTAAATAAGAACTCTAGAGACATCTACTAAGAGCATGAATTTTTGAGAATCAGACTTCATGATTTCCCAAATGTATTAGCCTATTTGCAAGAGCTAAAATTCATTATCGGCCAACTCTATAACGTTGATGTGACCATTACTGAAATTCGTCTCTTGTTTCAGTTAATTACAGGTCTCAACAAGAATTACAATGGACTTTCTACTTTGATCCAAAAATCAAATCCTCTATCACTAGTCTATGAATAACAACCCATATTGGTACTTATATAAATGAGGAAAACCATATAACAAATGCACAACTCCTCTATAAAATTGCTCACTTCTATGTCCTTTACAACAACAAAGATAGTGCTAACAGGGCACCCATTTTCTGTCACAACATCATATGAGGTTGCCACTTATATCACCAGATTTTGTCGTGATGGAAAAACCGGATAAGCGAGCAGTAAGAGTGGACAAAACAAGGTCATAACCAATGATAAATTTTGAAAAGAAAACAAGGTGGTTCCCTCATTTAAAATTAGGCACGTCCTTAAATTTTCCCAATACAACGAGATAGGTTCCAAACAACTATATAATTTGTGGATAATATTAAAATTTGGGTAGGTCCTAGGACCCACCAAAGATGTATGTAGCTCCTCCCTAAGTCGAAACAACAACCACAACCGACAACAACAATAATAGAGTGCTTATCTCCATTGACCTTGTGCCCAAGATACTTGTAGCATTCCATATTGTTTATATCCAACAATTTCTTAGCTTGTACCTGACAAGAAGAATAATAGGTTAGGACCACAACAACAACTATTAAGGTGTGGAAACTAATTTACCCTTTGACTGTATAGCTGCTAGGCAAACTAATTATGTGCTAGTTCCTATATTAGATTTGCCTTCATTTTCATCATGGTCCATTTTCGTCAAATTTATGGGCTTGGACTTATTGGCAGTTTTAAGTCAACCAATTAGTATTTATGTCGTGCGCATAATTGATCACTCTCATCTTGTGAACCATGTAAATTTATTATGTTCATAGTTTTGTTTTCATTTATTACTCTATGTGAGAAATCATTTAGTGTTTTTTTTACAAGAGCCTTTAGCCGAAAATAAACCTGGAGCGATGAAGAAGGAGGATTATAATCCAAATATTTTCCACTTTTTTTAAGATTTGTGGCATCGATGTCTAGTCCATCTCTACTGAAATAATTTTTTTTGCTTACAAACAACACTTTTATTTCTTATAACTGTTAAAAGACTTATTCCTTCTCTGATACATCAACTTTCAATTCTTGAGCACAAGTTAAATTACTATTTTATGATTTAAGTTCACTAACTTCATTCTATTTGATATTGTGCTTAGTAATTTAAGGAACTGCCATACTTTAGGTTTAGGGGATATCATTTTTACATATTTTTCCTTGATGATTTCTCAAAATTTCTTTGGAACTTTCTGCTTTTCATAAACCTCAAGTATGTCCCCCTTTTCTAGACTTAAGAAACTTTTTTTAGAACGATTTTGGAAAATTCATGGAAACTTTCTAATGTGATAATAGTACTAAGTACAATAATCACTCGTTTGCTCAGTTTTGTTATAATAATGGCATGAATTCCATTTTTCTTGTCCATACACCTCTCCCCATAAGTGGTAAATCTGAACGCATGGTAAGAGTACTCAAGAAACATCATCCATACTTTATCAACCCATTCTCATGTGTCTACCAATTTTTGGTACCATGTCTTATGAATGTCTACCTTCCTTATTCATATCATATCCTTCAAAATTATCACTAAAATTACAGACACAGATACATGAAAAATGAAATCCATCTTATGAAATCACTGATGTCTATGTCACTCCCTCTTTCCATAAACTATAATCAACAAGTTATAATTTTGAATAAAGTGTGATTTTTTGGTGATGAGAAATCATAACAACTTGGAATAGATTGTAATGAAAAATTATCCATGTGTTTAAAGTTATGAAAAATAAGCATAGTCTTAAGTATATCAATCTCAAATCATTAACAATTCACCAACTAGATGTAAAAAACACATTTTTTAATAGTCATTTTTATGAGATAATATATATGTATCAAGCTTTGTAATTTCGAGGTCACTCCTATCTAAATTATGTGTTCTTTGTCAAGAAATCATTATATGGTCTCAAACAAGTGTCTCAATCTTGGTATTAATGGTTTGAAAACTATGTATCTACCAACAGTTACATACAAACAAAGTGAAATGAATATTTATATATCTATTACTATATTTGTTATGTTGCTTATTTGTGAAAGAACTAACACTTGATATTTGCTCACAAAATGGAATACTTTATTCATGCGGCCGACTGGCTTTAAATACAACTAAGAAAATAACTAAATAACAATAAAATTGGAGAATACTAAATCTAAACATAGATAATACTCAATCTAAACAGATAGCTAATGATCGAGTAAACCACACGTACAACTCCTGCTTAGCTATTTAAGCTTTATTCGAATTCTTTGATTTGCAAAAGGTAAATAACCCAAAAAAATTTCCCCCAAACTAGACAATCACGTCTTGTTTGTCCTCCGATGAACATACTCCAAGCTTCTCTCTTAGTTTGAGAAACATATCATGATGCAGAGGTTTTCTGAAGATGTCCACTACTTGCTCCTTCGTTCCAACATGTTTTAACTCGATTGTTCCTTTTCCAACCAGGTCTCGAAGAAAATGACATTCTACTCCTATGTGTTTGTATCGGCCGTGAAACATTGGATTCTTCGAGAGCTTAATTGTAGATGTGTTGTCACACCTGATCATTGTTCCCTTTCCTTGTTTAATTCCGAGTTCTTCAAGAATTCCTCGAATCCACACCACTTGATAGGCACATGCTGCTGCTACCACATATTCTACTTTAGTCGAAGACAGTGCAACGATGCTCTATTTCTTTGATAACCAGGAGACCGCTGCCCCATCCCACAAAATTAAGTACCCATAAGTACTTTTCTGGTCATTTCAATCTTCGGAGAAGTCACTTTCTGTAAATACTTCCATTGAACCACTTCCTCCCTTCTTGTACTAGATACCATAATACAAAGTACCATGTAGGTATCGTAGCACCCTCTTTGATACTGCGAAATGAGTAGTGGTGGGTTTAGACATGAAACGGCTGATCTAGCTTATCACAAACTAAATGTATGGACTTGTAGTTGTGATATACATTAAGCTTCCCACTAAGCTTTTGAATTCTGTTTCATCCATAGGTTCGCCTTCTTCTAATTTCAAATTACACCCAGGAACAATTGGATTGATGACTGCATTGCAATCCAACATGTTGAACCGTGGTAGCATCTCTATTGCATACTTTTGTTATGAAATATGTATTCCAGCTGTCGTTTGCAGAACTTTTATTCATAGGAAGTATCTCATCTTCCCTAGGTCCATCATTTCAAACTCCATTTTCATTGAGAATTTGAGATCTTACAGCATCTGCTCATTGTCACCTGTGTATAGGAGGTCATCAACATAAATGTTAACAAAAAGACAACTTCCATCTGGTGTCATTTTGATCAACATAGTGTGTTCAGATCTAATTCTAGTGAAACCTTCCTTGACAAAATATGATTCAATTCGGCTGAACCATGCCCTAGGGGCTTGTTTAAGCATGTATAGAGCCCTTTGGAGTTTGTAAACTTTGTGTTCTTGATTCTTATGTACGTAACCTTGTGGTTGTTGCACATACACTTCTTCTTCCAAGTTTCCATAGAGGAAAGCTGACTTTACATCTAGTTGGTAAATGTTCCATCCCTTTTGAGCAGCAAGAGAAAATATTAATTGAATTGTATCCATTCGAGAAATTGGGGCGTATACCTCTTCATAGTCAATGCCATACTCTTGGCCATATCCCCTCACAATTAAGACTTGCTTTGTGTTTCTTAATCTCACCCTTTTCATTGAGATTTTTCTTGAAAACCCACCTAACACCAATGCATTTGGCTCCTTTTGGCAGGTCTACCAGCTGCCATGTTTGATTTTTCTCAATACCAAAAATTTCAAGATCCATGGATTTCTTCTACCTCTCATCGTTAGTTGCATCTTCATAATGCACAGTGTCTTGGTGTATGAGATCAGCGGACATCATCTCATCTTCATCGAATTCTACTTCTTCCTCATCACTTACAAAATAATCATATAAGTAAGCAGGTGGTCTTCTTAGTCTCTGAGTTCTTCTTTTCTTTGATTGCTGGAATGCTAGGACCAGCAACAGATTCATTAATCATGGGGCTAGAGTGTTGATTTGTGTTTTCGTCTTACATCACTTCATGATCTTGATCAAGATGATGAGTATTTACAAACTCATAGTCATCATCAATGAAGTGATAATCACCCCATATGATTTCTTGCCCATCTTCTCCATCTTCAGCTTGATTCCAATTCCAAGACTTGTGTTCTTCAAAGATGACATCTTTGCTTATAACAACTTTATGTGTGTGTGGATCTACCAGCCTGTATGCCTTTGATTCTTCACTGACTCCTATCAAAATACAAATTGAACTTTTTGCATCAAGTTTAGTTGTTTTCTGTTTAGCGATATGAACATATGCTAGGCATCCCTAAACACGAAAGTGGCTGACTGTTGGTTTGATCCCACTCCAGGCTTCTTGTGGTGTCATGTTTGTGAGGGCTTAGTGGGACACCTGTTTAAGACATAGAAACTCCATACTGTTGCCACTCCCCAAAGTTTCTTTGGCATACTTTTTCGCTGCAATCATTGATATGACCATATTTATGAAAATTGTGTTTCTCCGTTCAGCTACCCCATTCTGTTGGGGTGAATAACTTGTTGTGAGTTGCTTTTTGATGGCATGCTCTAAGAAAAATGTCTTGAATTCATCATATAAGTATTCACCACATCTATTTGTTCGAAGTGCTTTGACGACCTTTCCTGTTTTAATTTCTACTTTCTTCTTGAATTGCTTGAAGCTTTCAAAAGCTTGAGACTTTTCTGGAAACAGATATACCCAACCCTTATGCCAAAAAGACCCATTCCTTTCACCTAAAGTATCTCCATGCCTGAATTTTCAAGATGACCCATCCTTTCATGCTATAACTTAGCACTATCTTCATCACTTGTGTACATACATCCTTCTATCTTCTGTTCTGTGACTGTATTTGTTTCTTCACTTATGGGAACATCCTATTGAGTATGATTTGAAAATCAAACCATTTTCTTGGTGAAACACCTTACATACATCTTGTTGGAA